TATAAACCAAACTAGATTTGAAAAGTAGGGTGCAGCAGTTTACCTATAAACCAAACTAGATTGGAAAAGTAGGGTGCAGCAGTTTTACCTATGAACTAAACTAGATTGAAAAAGTAGGGTGCAGCAGTTTTACCTATAAACCAAACTAGATTGGAAAAGTAGGGTGCAGCACTTTACCTATAAACCAAACTAGATTGAAAAAGTAGGGTGCACCACTTTACCTATAAACCAAACTAGATTGGAAAAGTAGGGTGCAGCAGTTTACCTATAAACCAAACTAGATTTGAAAAGAAGGTGCAGCAGTTTTACTTATAAACCAAACTAGATTGGAAAAGAAGGTGCAGCAGTTTACTTATAAACCAAACTAAATTTGAAAAGAAGGGTGCAGCAGTTTACCTATAAACCAAACTAGATTGGAAAAGAAGTGTGCAGCAGTTTTCCTATGAACCAAACTAGATTTGAAAAGTAGGGTGCAGCAGTTTACCTATAAACCAAACTAGATTGGAAAAGTAGGGTGCAGCAGTTTTATCTGTTACAAACTTCAGCATAGCGTCGTCTTCCACCCGATACACGTTTAGAGTTAAAGTCCTAAAGTAGAAATATAAATAATAATAAATGAAATAAATGAAGAAAAAACAAAGAGTATTTGAACAAAATGTTTGTTTCTACAAATGAGAAAATTTATTTTAATAAAATCTCTTTTGTTAACCTGAAGAACAATTTACTCTTAATTCAATATCCCGCATGGTAATCGTAACCTGTAGGAATAACTGAAGAGACGAAATTAAGCATTAATCATTAAATTCTAAGTGCCCACAGTGGATGTGGATATCAAGATCAAGTGCTTAGGATTATGAGTAGTCAACACAACAGTTTCCAGCTCTGTGCAAAAATAGATCCGGATTCAACTCATAAATATTTAGATTTATAAAACAAGTTTTAAAAATCTTCTTCTTTTCTGCTAAATTTTTTGGTAGAAACTTGATTTATCATTTAATAAGACTGCTGGGTAGGATAATGGAAAATACGGAAACCGAGCGGGGATTTTGCTGATGTTACGGGTTTTGCGGATTTTGTAGATTTTGCAGATCTTGCATATTTGGCAGATTTTCCGGATTTTGCGGGTTTGCAGATTTCGATGATTTTACCTGACAGCAATTCTGACCATACTCTCTGAATGGTTAAAGAACTTGATTGCCTCTGTGTACAACGGGAAGTCGTGAGTATGCTCGTTGTAGAAGAAATGAATAGTATGCTTGTTCAGCCTGAAATAAAAATATAAATTTTCTTTAAAATCTTTAATCCCGGCAAACCCCTCATACTATGCTTTTAGGATCTTCAATTTAAATTGTGAAAATGTTCTCTTTGTATTCCTTGCAAAACAAAAACAAACAAAAATGTTAGGGGGTAAAATATGAAAACTGGAAATCAACAATGTTTTCCCATTACTGGTATTTGTTAATGAACATTTCAGATTTTAACGGATTTTATCATTATANCCAAAAATCAATTAAATCAGTCAAAATGCCGAATATCAAAATCTTTATCTGATTTAAATTAAATGGTTTAACCAAACCTGAAGGAGAGGGTTTTCAAGAATGAGATGTAGTAGGCCATTACTTCTTCATCAGAGAAATCAAACTAAACCAAACCAATCAGCAAACTTTATCTTTAATTAAAGGGAGGAGCCAAATATTTGAAAAGAGGGTCAGAGCTTCAGAAAAAACTATCAAATTAGTTGTAGATACAAATCCTGAAATCTACGGTTAATAATTATTACTTTAAAGTAATAATAAAGAAACTTGCGCTTTTTTCTAATTTGCTCGATTTAATATTGGCAGATTAGTGGGTTTCACCCGTTGTGACGTTAAAAACCGCCTCGGGTAGTTTGGCACATTTAACAGTTTTGACACTTTCCCCACAATATTAAATCATGAAAGAAACACTTGCCAGGCGGATTCTCACGTCACACCGTCTCTCATTAGCCAACATTTAGTATTAATGATTTAAGACAATTTAGTAATTTAGTAGGTTTGTGATTTGAGAAGTTTTCTACGCCAAAATGTTTCTAATTCAGAGAAAGGACGTTTAGATAGCGGAATTTAAGAAAACCTAACGATTTCTATCATTTTATGTTGCATTTTGTCAACAAAAATCTACACCTGCATAATATTAAGTACCCCACGCAACTACATTACGTAATTATACAAAGAAAATTATTGATAAAAATACAGGATATCAAAGATAACAAAGTAAATAAGGTTTTTGACGCCTTCTTAAGCATTAACAAGTCAAGGTTTTGTAACAATATGATAGAAAAGACCCTTTCCAGAATTGATTGTTTTTTTTGCTATGGTCCAAGATTGAGATATCTTAAATCCCCGAAAAGGCTTCAATTACCGTAACTACCTTTTTCTTGGGACACCCTGTAGTTATTGCTGATGATTTATTTCCTTGTGAATTATGATGGAGTTGACATGGTTGTTGGAGAGAAGATAGTAAATAGAAGTCTCATTCCTAATATTCTCAAATAGAATATTCAAGGTCTGCAGTAACTATAAAATAAACAGGATTAAAATAATAAAAATTTCTCTTTTTTTCAGACTCTTTCTTACGCAAAATCAAGTATTATTTTTATACATAATTCTTTATTTTTCCTAAAAGTAAAAAAAAAATGAAGTATGAATTCGATCTAACTTAACTCAAATAATTGTTTTCTTTTGGCAAGTTTTTTTAGGAGCACTTTAACCTCCCCTTCCCCCTACCTTCCCTTCCCCGGCCCCGTTAAAATACGAATATTCCAGGGGCCGAACCTTTTATTTTAAAATAGCGCAGAGATCCAGAGACTGAACTCGATAGTCAATATTTATGTCCAAACTTTTAACTTGAAGGATTTAAGTTAAAATACGTGGATTTACTGAAAATCTGCCATGACTTACCAAGAGATAATTCACAATTGATTCAAATATTTAGCCGCGGAGCTTAGAGATTAGAAATTGTAGATAGCAGAAGCTACAGACAGATTCAAGTTTTCAAAAGTTTTGTCCTTTGGTGTTCTTACCTGTACACAAACGTAATTGTTTCCCGTTTTTTGATCCATAATCTTCAAGAAGAATGATAACATGTTCCTCTCTAGTTCACACAATAAATACAAACATTTGATTCAAGTTTAAAAGCTATTCTCTCTGCTAATAAATTGGCATGTTTTTCCCCTTCTGTACATTTTGAGAAATGGTAGGGGAATGCATTTTATACAACCTTTTTCCATCAAATGAATAATTTGTGAAAATTTAATCTCTGATTAGTATTTCTTCACTAAATTTCGACTATCATTTACTTACAAAAAACCTTCTGTTTCTTGAATTAAGTAACCCAACTTTAAAAAACATCTTTTAAAGTGTATGAAAATTCAATTTGTAAAGAATGGGGTAATTTTATCTATAAACATAAGAGATCCGCCTCCCACCTCTTCCGGTGAAAAAAAAACATAAAAAATTTTTTCTTACTGTAAAAAATAAAATTAAATGATGTGTGTTCCTAAGAAGAAGTCAAATACAGAACTATCATTCTGATCTCCCCAAATCAGTATTTCAGCAATACAGCGAAGTGTTTCAACCAACTGACTCTAAACAGTATAAAAATTGTTACATGTCTTTCATTTAAGATCCTCTTACATTAAAAATCCATAATTGATAGGAGGGGGGGGTCCAAAAATCGCTCTCTACAAAATTACCGACCCTTCTTCCCCGTTTATTTTTATACACCCTGTATGTATTCTTCAATATCATCCACAAAACATGTAACTTAAAATTACCTTATTGCTATCATTCACAGTCTGGTTTTTAGACAGCACATTGTACAGATATTTCAAATGTTCGAGGGAATGGGGATTTTTCACCTTCCACAGCCCCCCGAAAAATCCTGTCCTTTTAAACATTTTCTTGTTCACTTCATGGAAACAGCTTCAGTCTTGAGATTCATTATCTGAAAAAAATGCTATTAAAAGGTATACTATTAATTTTTTAAATCTCTGTTTTAATCTTGTTAAACAAATTCGTTGTGCAATGCCAATATTGTTTAGTACGAAAACTATTTCACAACATCGTAATTCATATTTCGTACTCCCATCAGGATTTTCTTACAAATCAGAAAATTATTTGGTTTGGTTAAATGTGTCATCTGACAGAAGTATGGCAACTTCGGCTCTACGCTACTTTAGTCCTACGATAATCCGTCTTTTTAACATTCCGACATGCATCAAACTCATCTAACTAAACAACACTTAAGAAAATATCTAAAATGAGACCCTGGGCATGTGATTGAAGCATGTAATTGACGTAATTTTCGAGTTTAGCAGGTGAATGTTGACTCGATGTCGGACAAGTCAATTCGTTGAAAGCTTTAGGTTTATGATGAAAGATATTTTTATAAATTAACATTTAAGAATTGAAAATTTCAAAATATCCAGCTACATATTTCTTGTGTACAATGGATTTGAAATGGATAGTTTTAAACTAGAAATTGTAATTGAAGAATCTCGTTTGAATTGAAAACTGCTGATAATTTTTTAAAAAATCTAAATTTCCTGGCAGAATTTTCTAGATAACTGTTGTTCAGCTAGGCCGAGGGTGGATATAGATCTGCATACGGATAAGCTCTGGCTCTGTGATCAGGTTTTATTAAGAATACTTAATACCAACCTTCCCTGCTAGCTAATTTCTGGATCTGGTTACCTGACATGACATACAAAAAAAACGACATACCAAGCATAACTAATAATAACGTACTGGATAAAATCTATGAAGCTATGCTAGACATGAGTCAGGCTTAATCTATGGCGACACGCCAAGCTTAAAATAATGACGACACGTTAAACTTGCAACAATGACGACATTCCATGCTTAAAATAATAGCGACAAGCCAGACTTAGAATGATTGCGACATGCTGACTGAATCTATGGCGACATGCAAAACTGAATATATGGCCCAATCTAATCTATCACAAAAAGTCAAACATGATCTATGGCTGAATGCCAGCCATACTCTATGGCGGTGCGCCATAAATTATGATCTAGGCGATCCCCCAAACATGTTCATTGCCGGCACGCAAGAAATACTCTATGGCGACTTGCCAAAAATAAAACAGTGGGGACACGCCAGGCTAGGAACAATGGCGACACGCCAGACTTAATGAAAAATGGCGACACGCTAGACTTTATGAATAATGGCCACACGCCAGTCTTATTGAATAATGGCGACACGCCAGACTTATTGAATATTGGCGACAAGGCTTATTGAATAATGGCGACACGCCAGGCTTATTGAAAAATGGCGACCCGCCAGGCTTATTAAAAAATGGCGACACGCCAGGCTTATTGAATAATGGCGACACACCAGGCTTATTGAATAATGGCGATACACCAGGCTCAGAATAATCCGTCCTAAAATGATTGCAACAAGCCAGACTTATTGCTGTGGATACCAAGGATATGGACGCCAAAAGAATTGAAATATTCATTTAGCTCTCTGAGCTTCCAGCAATAACTGCAATTAAGGTCATTGGAATCTTCTACCTTATTTGATTCTTTTGTTAACCCCAACATTTTAGCACTAAAAGACTTATTTGAAACCCAACATTTACAAAATTAACGCATGAATAAGAAAATGAAATGAAACCCCTCATTTGATACGGCGTTTGAATAAAAGGAATTTACCGGNACTCTCCTTTCTTCCTTCCTTACTTTCTCCCTGTTCCCCTCTTCGGATCGATTCAAATGCCCCTTAAAAATATTCCATGGTTTTTTTTGGACCCGTCCCTACCTTTTGACACTTATATCAAATTATCAACCCATGATCGGAGAAATTGGTTAGATTTTGGTGTTTTGAATTTAATTGAATTTTTATGTTTTGGCTGAAAATCAATAAAATTAAATATTACTAATTTGTATGCAGGATCATGAGACTGGGAAAAGAAGTTTTAAAAATTGCTGAATGCTTTAATATTTAAAAATTTATTTCATCCCTGTGCAGTAGTTTATATCAATACGAATATTTTTCCCTCAATACATAAGGAATTTCAAGAATTGCCTGCAGCAAGCCATACACTTTCGATTTCTTCCCCAAAGCTGAAAAATCACCCCTTTTCACTAGCTATGGATGGGGATTGGTCAATTGTAAATCAATACCCATTTTAAAATTTTCTTAACTCTTAAGAAGCACGTTTATCAAAAGGGTATATATTTTGAAGAAAAATGTAAATTGTCTAAAAAATGTCCGAATTGGTGGCCTTTTCAACCCGGATCAATTCAATTATTGCCGAAGGCGGCTTATTATATGAGGGGGAGAGGGATTACGCCCCCCCCTTGGAAAAATGGGGTAACGCCCCCCTCTCAAAGAAAATTGGGGGGATGTCCCCCCCCCCCTGTAACAAATTAGGACTGCAAGAAGAGAGAGCAGGCACCTTCTAGCCCTTTCATTTGATTTTTAAGAATTGACAAGAAAGTTCCCTGTGGCGCCATTTATTTACTTTAATTTAAAAAAATTGTCTCCACGTTTGCATTCCTTTTTGTTTCACTACAGAGCTAACCAAAAAGTGTTTCCAATTTCGTGTTGGGCCCAGTCGCGCATTATGCATTTTTTTCTGAAAACATCGTCTCGTTCCTCTTGATGTCTACACGATGGCAAAGATTAACTTTTAACCAAACTCTATATTTAATAAGGTGTCAATGCCTATCTCAATCAAAAACTGTTCTTTCGATTAAATAATGTTAAAGAAAAATACAACTTCTCAAAATCTATGAATGACAAAGCTACATCAAGGTTAAAACTTTCCTTTAATCAAGATCTTAAAAGCTTGATCTCAATATCCAAAGGTGCACTTTTAAATTTGAAAAGCATTAGTTTTCCCTGCATAAGTATGAGCACCGCTTGATATCGAATTTGTCAGGTTTCAATAATGAGTTTCCAACCAGGGTGAAACAAATGTCTTGAATCTATAACTAAATTAAAGATAGCCATGGCACACGGATTTTAATGATTATATGGATGAAATTATTGTTGCCTAAACCGTCTTGTAAATCAGTTCAAATCGTCGAAACATTGTGAAAATTAATGAACTTGTGGATATATAACTGGTTTTTTTACTTCTGCAAATTTTACTCGGTACCTAACAAGCGTTCACCCAAACATGGTCGATTTTCAAAACATTTTATGCTTCATATTGCATATTGATAAGAACTTAATTAATTTCCCAAACTAACAAGTAATTTTATCTCTTTTGATATCATTATAATCCAATAGCAACGGCCATTTACAACTTCTGTTAAATAACTTTAATTAATGATTCCAGAAAAATAAGATAATAAATTATTTTCCAAAATGAAATCTAATGCTTGGTTTTCATTTAATTTTGATGAAGATTTGGAATCCGCCCAGGAAAAAAAGATCCAGATAATGAATGTTTACTGATTTTAAAACAAAAGAAAATTTAACCTAAAACTTCATGAATCATTGAGCATTTTTTATCACATCAGATTTGGGGTTTGAGAAAGACTTATTAGCAGTTATATAGTCTCTTGGATCCAGATCCAGGAAGCCCAACTGTTGCGGATCCGACGGATCAGTATTCGGTAACCTCAGCACTGATAAAATCAATCATTATTTAGAAGGTACAAAACCTTTAATTAACAGGAATCTGTTGCATTCCATGCAAAATGTTGTACGACTTAGGACAATTTTAAGATTCCCTATTTTAATCCAAATACCGGATTCTTTAAATTATAGTGTAAGACTTTTCCAGTCACTATTAATACGATTCCACACTTAAATGCAAAAAGTGTAATTGATTTTTACTTATAATTCAATTATGATAAAAATCTAATAGTTAAGTTTCAGGGTTACCCACAAAGGATGAAACAATTGGTCCAATATTTTAAATAAGGATAATTTTAAGCGAACTTCAGTCTAAGACAGCACTGCCCGATTTATATCAGAAAAAATTAGATATCATATTTATAATAATAGCTGATAAATTAAATTGTGGGTTTACTACAAAAGTGACTCGCACATTTCAAAGTTCAACACTTAACAAAGAAAGCGAGATTATATCCCATATTATTGCTTAGAAAATAGTTTCGAGAGTATCACTGTGAATCGGGAAAAGAAAAGTTAACATTTGCAGGGATTCAATCCATAATATAAAAAACTTTCCCGTTGTCTCATCCTCAGCGAGTAACCCTGTGTAGTGTATATTTAGGTTCAGGTTCATTGAGTTTCGAGAAACCAGGATCTAAAGCTAGCCGTCTGAAAAATAATAAATTTAACAGTTTCTAACCAGACTATATCTAACCTTTGATTAATTTCTCAACTGATTTGAATGGAAGGAAATAAAGAACAATTTGACAATATATAAATCTTTATTTAAAAACAAAAATGGTTTATGATTAACTGAATGAATTGTTCACATATAATTAAATAATTCCCCACAAATAATTACTAAAAGAATGAATACTTTTAACCTAGGATGGTCGGAGCAGACGACGTGTCCTGAAAAACATCAGATTTAATAGCTAGGTGTCAAGTGTGCGTGTATGGGAGGGATATTAAAAAAGATAAAATTCTCACAATCTTGACGGGGATTTAATACATAGCTGTCCCAATTTACCGTCGATATTTCAGAACAATTGTTATCGACAGAAGATCGGGACAGCTATGGTATGTGAATATAAACCCACCATAGTTTCTGCTGCACTGGATTCTGCAGACAAGACTCCGTGCTGTAAAATTATTATTTAGTACATTTAGTTATTTGTATATAGAGCTACTAGACAACAGTGAAGTGGCAAGATGAATAAAGAAACAATATTTGTTAAAAATCTTGCAACAGCACTAAAAAGCAGGATTTGATCAAGATTAAGTTCATTTGAAAAATTTACATTTGTTTAATTCTTAACCGTAATGGAAAAATCTGGATAAAACCCTGGCTAGGGCACAATAGAAAGTTAAAATGTAAAGCATTGGTTGAAAAATTAAAGATAATAACAATTCAAATATTGTGCCCTCAAGACGTAGCTTATATACGTACCGTGCATGACTAGAGGCAATGCACCCTGACATTTACTAGCAGTTCGCCTGTAATTATTCTTCTGGTTCGTCTATAATAACAACAATTAGTAGTAGCATAGTAGTACATTATTTATGGGGAATTAGATCACAAATTACAATACAATATATAAATTATCTGAACACCATTATCCTTGATAATAGCAAATGTCTGAAAATGTCTGTTTTAAGGGCCCTTAGGGTATGGCTTCTAAAAGGAAACCTTTGATCGTTTACCTACTGGAAACCCCGCCAATTTAAGTTGAGCTTTCATCTGTTCTAACTCATTCCTAGCCTCATCTAGCTCCTCACGAGCATTCTCAGCCTCGTTCCTTAATTCGGAATTCTCATTCCTCAATCTATAAATTTCCTTCTCAGCTGCCTCCAGCTCACGCTTCTTCCGCTCACGGTTCTTCTTAGCGTTAATAGCATTAAGTCGGCATTTCTCTGCGTCTGGGTCAGGCAGGGGGTCGTTAAGCTCATACATTTTCCGTTTCTTAGCGGACATACGAGATCGGCAATTTCTTGCAGACAGCTGGGATCTGATACGACTAGGCCTGGGAGCTTTGAGGGAGTAAGTATGAATTTTCTCGGTTGATTTCTCCGCTACTTCTAAAACTGGAATAATATCAGGAGTTTCGGAGGTCTGCTCAGTTTGATCAGCCTCTACAATTTCGGAGATCACTGTAGGGGTGGAGGACTGAGAGGGTGTGTTCACTGGTTCATCTTCGAACACATTATCTATATCTGCAATACTGAAATCCAATGCAAGCCCTGTGGACGCAAGATTGGGCTTAAATAGAAAATTAACTTCATCTTCAAGATCATCTGGATTCATTACAGGATCGTTATCACTCATAAATGCATTGTCAATGTCGAAATTAAACAGATCGACGCCAGAATCGGGCGATCCCTGGCCTGCTCGCAGATCCATATCTGGAGCTAGGTGTTGATCTGTTTCAGAGACGAAAAACTCCTTCCAGGCGGTTGAATCGTCCTCAGGAATGGCCGGAATCAGGTCCGGATCCTCAAAAAAAGAAAAAGACATTAAATCTGACATAATTTCCACCTTTAATCAGCAGAAACCTTACCAAGAAAAGATAAAAATCCACGAGAATATTCTTCTGTGTCTGTTGGCGCTGAACGTTTCGTAACGAGTAACTGAGGAATCCAAAATGGTGGATATCTTTAAAAACACTGTCCTTTGGTTGGCTGATATGATCACGTGATCTACACTTCCTGCTCCCCTATTGGTGGACTACAGACTTGACTCGGCCTTTGTTGCGGAGACCGCTCCAATTTCGTCATCTGTTCAAAACGTTTTACTCAAAACAGGGTTAAAACTTATTTACAAATTTTTGACAATGTTTTGTTTTACTTTTAAAAAAACGAAAATTAAAGAAAAAAAATAATTTTTGTTCGCAAAGTAAGATTGTCATGAAAATCAATGAGGACTGAGGACTGAGTGTATACTGAGAATTGTAAAATCATTTCCGTGTTAATAGTTTTGCTAAACTGAAATTTGTAAAAATGCACCATAAAGTGTATTTTGATNCTACTTGTCTACTTGTCTACTTGTCTACTTGTCTACTTGTCTACTTGTCTACTTGTCTACTTGTCTACTTGTCTACTTGTCTACTTGTCTACTTGTCTACTTGTCTACTTGTCTACTTGTCTACTTGTCTACTTGTCTACTTGTCTACTTGTCTACTTGTCTACTTGTCTACTTGTCTACTTGTCTACTTGTCTACTTGTCTACTTGTCTACTTGTCTACTTGTCTACTTGTCTACTTGTCTACTTGTCTACTTGTCTACTTGTCTACTTGTCTACTTGTCTACTTGTCTACTTGTCTACTTGTCTACTTGTCTACTTGTCTACTTGTTTTCTTCTCTAATTCTCTACTTCTAAATCTTGTCTATTTTTCTACTAAGGTATTTTTGTCTATTCAATTTCTACTTTTCCACAACTATCTGCTTGTTACGAATATCTATTTGTAAACATATAAATATAGGCTACTTTACAATTATCTACAATTTTGTCCACTGCACCACCTGTCTACTTGTCCGTACTTGTCTAATCATGTCTTTTGGTCTATTTGTATTTTGTCTGGTTGTCTGGTTGTCTGCTTGTCTACTTTTCTTTACTTTTTACTACACTAATAATCTACATTTTTCTACATATACCTCGTCTTTATCTATCTATCATTATACAGCTTTCTTCCCGGCTGAAGTTTCTATCAGAAATATTAGTTTTCAGCTGATACAGGATAGAGAGATATTGTATTGAATGTACTATATGAAGTTCCATGGAAACCAGCAATAATGCCTGCAGTGTGTGTGAAACATTTAAAACATGGATTTTGTTATTTCATTTTGCATTTCATGCCAACCATTAGATAATTAAATTGCAAAGAAGCAATTTTCTTCAAGTAATATGTAAAACATGACACATTGGACCTCAATAAAAGTCTATAATGCATAATTAATGAATAATGTGCTAAAAGAAATTGTCCTTGTGCAATATCTAAAATAAGTAGCTAATGCAGCAGTGCATTGAGGACGCACTTAATTGTATTTGTGACATCATACATAAACAACATACATAAAGTTATTGCCGCTATACATAACACATTAAAGTTGCTTGATACAATTACCTGGTATATGCGAATTCATGAGAAGCTCTACAAATACAATAAAAAAGATTTCCGATTTTTAAAGAATAATGCATTGTCAAACGATTTAAACAAATACGTTGTACATCATTTACTATGTATTTTTAAGAAAGGGATGCTTTATTCCCCCCCTCCCCCCCCCCCATCATCAATTTAAAGTTTTGTTATTCTCATTATCTTTTCACCACAAATATTATAAATCAAAGAAAATAAATATGAAAATAAAAATTATATTACAAAATATAGAGAAATAGAATGAAGAAATATAAGTTTCAATGTAAGTTTAATTAACAAAAAAAATAATAATTTTTTGCATCAGTTTTTTAATGAATTTCTGACATAATTTAAAGGTTTTAAATCCTAAGCAAACATAACAATTAAAACTATTTAAATGAAAAAGATGAAAGTTTTTTATTTTTATATTTTTTTATTTTTACAGATAAAAATGGCAGAGGTAAACACCTGGGATACTGAATTTGAATTTGCTTTGGAAATTGTTAAAAAAGTAGGAGAGATTATTAAAAACGCATTTCTTAGGTAATGTTAAAAAATATCATTTCTAATCAGAGAAAAGATTTTAAACGTGGCTTACCATGAAATTACGTTAGCACTCAGTCCCTTTAACATAATATTTTTGAAAAAGTTTTTAACAATCCATAAAAAAAGAGAAGGATCGAAAGCATCAAATTTTCATTCTGAATCTTAATAATGATATTTTGTATATCTGAAGATTTTCCTTTAAAAAAAAACACATAAAGTTCAGGGGCGCAAGGGAGAGGTTTTTTTTTTTATTTTTTTTTATTATTTTCTTTCAAGGGATAAAGTTGTGACAGAAAAGAGTTCTGCAACGGATTTAGTAACAGAAACAGATCAAGAGGTAACAATACATATATTTTTAATAATCTAAATGAAAAATAAGTTAAGAATAAAATAAAATTATGAAATATCGGGCAAGATCATCAAGTAATACAATTGTTTTAAAAAAATCTTAAATTTTCACTACCTAAATTGCGCAACGTTGCCCGTGGGATTAAAAAAAATTTAATTTATTTTTAAAGAAAGTTTTATTTTTGATTTTCTTATCCAATGTTACCAATTCGGTCCAGCCGTTTGGGCAGCTTTAGCAAACAAATATATAGTTAACTAAATAAAGATGTTAAAATGAAGGGTTTTTTATTATTCAGGTTGAAAGAGTGTTGATAAAAGGGCTAGAGAACAAGTTTCCTAATTATAGGTAAACATGATTTTTTATTTTACATGGGGCACTCTTTTGTTAGTATCCCTTTCCCTTTCATGTTAATCAGTACTTTGAAGCAGAACTAACCATCTGTATACATCCTTGTTTATAAATACATTTTTGGAATTTTTTAGGGTTTCTTACAGAAGTTTTAGTCTTGTATTTTTTGGTTTTGTTTTTAAAAGTTTACTTTATTAAATGAGAATTATATTTCGAAACTTAATGAAGTCGATCAAATGTTTTTGCATAATGTAGGGATCAGGTTCAGGTCTACATTTTTTTGGAATTAAAAAATTGTTGAAAAAATTAAATTTTTAAATTATACAAATCTACCTTACTGTTGTTGTAACATCAAATGACCCTCCATGCATTTAAAGAGGGACATGTCCGATTTAAACGGTACCCTTTAAATCTAACTGATAGATAATGTCGAAGATATCAACGCGTTCCAATCTGAAAAGTGTTTAATTTTGACAAGTTCCTCCATCTGCGGCAGACACCCGAAAGTCACTTGTATAGATTAACAACAAACGAAAATGATAAATTTTTTAAGTTAAAAACATGGATAGTTCATTCATTCGTAGCCATAAAAAGCTTTTAAGGGTACTGCTGTGAATCGGACATACCCCGCCCTATGAATGCAAGGTCACTTTAACGGAATTTTCTCCAGATTTATTGGCGAGGAGAGTGTTGCCGGTGGTTTGAAGTGTGAGTTGACCCATGACCCCACCTGGGTCATTGACCCCATTGATGGAACTACCAACTTTGTACACTCTAATCCGCATATCTGTACAATTCTAGCTTTCATGGTGGAACAGGTACTGGACTGTACATTGTACAAGATTTAGTTTCCGGTTTTATTATCAAATTAATTTAGCCAAACAGTACTTTGAAATTTACATTTACAAAACAAAATAATAATCATTTTTATCTACTGTTATTATTATTATTATTACTATTATTTACAACTATATTATGTACTAGTGAATTGAATTTAGTACACTGTACAACCCTATCATGTACTAGGAGGTAGAATTTAGGATAGTGTACAACCCTATAATGTACTAGGAGGTAGAGATTAGTATAGTGTACAATCCTATCATGTACTAGGAGGTAGAGTTTAGTATAGTGTACAACCCTATCATGTACTAGGAGGTAGAGTTTAATAAAGTGTACAACCTTATCTTGTACTAGGAGGTAGAGTTTAGTATAGTGTACAACCCTATCCTGTACTAGGAGGTAGAGTTTAGTATAGTGTACAACCCTATCCTGTACTAGGAGGTAGAGTTTAGTATAATGTACAACCCTATCATGTACTAGGAGGTAGAGTTTAGTATAGTGTACAGCCCTATCATGTACTAGGAGGTAGAGTTTAGTATAGTGTACAACCCTATCATGTACTAGGAGTTAGAGTTTAGTACACTGTACAACCCTATCATGTACTAGGAGGTGGAGTTTAGTATAGTGTACAACCCACTAGGAGGTAGAGTTTAGTATAGTTTACAACCCTATCCTGGATCAACTGTGGACTGCAAGACGGGGTAAAGGGGCCTTCTATAACGGTGCTAAGGTAAGACTTTAAAAAAATGTTTATAAAGGGATTGTTCACATATTTGAAAAAATGTTTAGATGATTGAACACTGCCTTCAAAGATGCAATTTTTGGGATTCTTGTAAGGAATCTTAGGTGTAATTTTTAGCGATTTGTTAATTGGGTATTTTTGAATTCACCAAAAAATTCGTCTTTTTCATTTTTTTCGTGTCAATTTCTTTTTTGACAATCATTATTAAAAAGTCCTGATTTTTATGTTGATTTTAAGAATAAATTTTTTCTGATTTATGTAACAACGGATTTATTAAAATACTGAAGGGTCCGGCGTTGCCCGTGGAATTTTTTTTTAAATATTTTAAAAAAATGTTGAATAAGAAATTCGATTTTTTTAGCTAAGGCATCCCCTCCCCACTCATGAGTGTCCACACAAAAATTCACCCCATTCGGTCCAGCCGTTTGACCGGCTATAGGCAACATATATATAAGAATGTCTTGTTTTATTTTATAGATAAACATTAATTATATGATTTATATAATAAAACTCTGCGCCTATGTTTACCCGTGCGTGGTACCCCGGAGGTGACATACGATAAAAAAATGTTAAAAGTTTTTAAAATTTCACGGGCAGCGTCTGGCAATTTAGCTAAAATCATGATTTTAAACCAAGCACGGATAGACGACGGTGGGAGAGACAATAACACAATAAATAATAAAATGAATCTGGTAAAAACCAGGCAGTCCACTTAGTTATATGTATAATTGAATTTAGATCCAGGTTTCGTCTTGCAAGAGCCTTGGTTCAGCCATCCTCGTTCAGGTATTCTTTTACAGAGTGAGACTTAAGAAACGTCTGCATCAAATTTTATGAAGTATTTATCTAGAAGTTAGTAATTTTTTTCTGAACTATGTTTTTAATTTAGGAAGTAGGTTCCGCTACCCCGGACCGAGTAAATATGTTAACAACAAACTCAACAACATTTATACCTAGGGTAATATTTTTCTCTATTGTTTATTGGGTTGGGTAGGTGAAATTAGGGAGTAGGGATATTGAAAATTTAATTTTTTAATCATTACCAATAACAAAATCTATAACTAACAATGGTTAAATTTTTCTATTTGTGTAAAGTCATAATCAGAAAGACTCGGAATTAATTGACAGGTAATGAGACGACTTTACATATCTTTGGTAATTTTAAACGCACAATAAAGACAGACCACATTTTGAAATTGGCAGGACTAGGGCTATTTTTTATATAATCGTTTCATTAATCATATTTGTAAAATTAGATTGTATAGTCGTCTGATTAATTATAGATTAATTCCGGGTCTTTTCTGACTGTAATATTTCAAAGGAAAGAGTCTAAAAATTAAAAAAGGTAGACATAGAAAATTTACTTTTATGTTCAATATCAGTCTTGAAAGTTTACATTTAGAATTTAAAAATATTTAGTTTTTGTACAACTTGAAAATTATGTTGAGTTGGTAATAATTCCGGAACATAGGAAGATATATATAACCGCGTAGCTTGCAACTTTTGAATGTAAAATGAACTGATTTAGGCTCATTTTCCTTTGGCGGAATTATTGATTCACTTCTTATTATTCACTAATCCGTACACTCGTCTCTATAATCAGTTACATCATTTACTGGTTTCACTGTTTATGTTTTATGGAGGCGATATTTTTCGTACATATGAGCACAAAGAAGCAACCTAAATAAACAGGCTTGATTTTGTTCAAAAGTTGCCAGCTTTAGTTTTATATTAATGTTTAGGTTCGAAGTATTAGATCTTATGGTTCTGCAGGCATAAATCTGGTTTATTTGGCCATGGGATCAGGTTTGTGATTGGCAGAATGGGTTTTTATAAAAATATTTTCGTTTGTTTGTAATACAATTGTAATACAATTCAGTCTTTTTAGTTAAATACTTTTTTCACCACAGTTTATTGGTGAAAAATTCAGAAAAATTATTAATGCAGAATACAGAATTTTTCTAAACTATTTCCCAGTTATATGAATAAATAAATGAATTTTTATAATGTCATGTTTGAAGGGTTGACTTAGAAATTGAAATTGATGTGTTGAAAATCAAAGTTTTTTCAGAAAAGTTTAGTTTTTTTGTAAATATAAATAAATAGCCATGAAATACACATAATGCCCGTATATTTGATTCAAGGAAGAAAACATAGAAAACTACATTAAAAACTTCTTTTTTTGCAATTTTTTTCTCCAATTTTAAAACTTATATAATACTTCCATTATATCAAAACTGTATTCTGCTAAGATTTGCTTTTGTTAAAATTTGCAATATTTTTATCTTATAATAGAAGAAAATGAAAAAACAAACAAATAAAACGATAGTTTTAAAACGTTTTTAGATTGTTTTTGTTTTCTTTATTTCATATATACTTTCCAAAAACGTCTTGACACGATCGTTTTTGGTTTGTGTTCCTATTTTTTTCTTTTTTAAGTAAAATTTTTTGCAAAGGGGATGGTGGAGATGTCCTGTTAGATGATGAGGGGGGGTGGGGGTCCCTGTCTTGGTTCCTAGCTTTCTTTTGATATGCATGAAGCCATAGTTAAAATATTTTCAATTTGGAGGTCATTAGAGGTCATTAGAGATCACAAGAGGTCATTAGAAGGCCAAACACAGAATTCTTTGCTCTTACTGTGTTTCCTGGGTTTCTAGCTTTCGTTTGACATGCAAGAAGCCATAGTTCAACAAATTTATAATTGTCAAGGTCATTACATGTCATCACAGAGGTCATTAGAGGTCATTAGTGTCCAATTTTATTTCATTTTTGGAAAAAAGGCGTACAGTAAAATTTGGAAGATTTTTACAAAAATGAAGGCAGGGACTCCCCCCCCCTCATCAAATTGTACATCTCCACCATCCCCTTTTATCAAAAGAAAACTTTAACAGAATGTATATATAAATATATAAGAATATGAATACAATGACTTATCTTTTATTATTTCGTTTTCTACTATATTTTTTAAAAGAACTTTTTAAGGCTATAAATGACATTAAAAATGAAAATTCAAAACTATCCTTTAAGTTCAAAAATGTTATACTATAATATTTTTAGTTGATGCTTATTTTGAGATGGGATTCCATATTTGGGATTACGCTGGGCCATCACTCATAGTCAGGTATCTTTATATATATATATATAGTAATAATCTCTCTTTTTTGTCTGTTTCTTTAATAGAGAATAGAATATATATAAGAGTGGAATTTACTAGAAAAAAGTGTTAAACGGCCATTTTGTTGTACTGTTTCCATACTGCAGTTGTACTTCACATATTTGTGCTATATAACCTTTTGGTCTCTGGAATATCATTTTATAGAAAATCTAAAATTATTGTTAAAAGAAAACCAAATTATGAAATAGGCTGGTTTCATAATTGACCAATGATCATTTCACATAGACTCTATACCTTTCACTTTACAAACGATGATTTTCCGTTATAACTTTAAATCAAATGATGTTTTTTATTCCCCTAATTCATTATAAAGTTTATTTAACAGCTTTAAAAAATTCGAAATTGAAATGAATAGTCTAGGGAACATACTGTATTAATGTACTCTACTGCATATAATTTGTGAACATTTACATGATTTGTACACTTTGAACTCGCTTTCAGGCTGAAAGGGACTGAAAAAATTCATACCGAGAGATTCTTTAAATTCCCCTCTAATATATATTCTATTCTCTATGGTTTCTTTCGATGTCCGAGCATAATTCATGAACACCTGGACCGATTTGCCTCAAATTTTGATTGAGGAACTGGTTGAACCTCAGAAATTGTCTTGGTTTGGTTTTAAAGTTCTAAGATGATTATTGACTTTTATAGAAAAAATTTAATTTCCAGGCAAAGCTGGTTACCTGAGCTAGTAAATTATAAAATCTTACGTAAATAGATATCAAACGGAATAGTATTTTTAGCGATATTCTGGACAGTGATCAATTCCTAGCTCTCACCTTTTCAGAAACAACATTACACCATTCCTGGTTATCTTATCGCTTCTTCAACTAACTCTCTCGCACCTCTGACCATTTAGTAAAAGTAAATTTAAGCTAAAGTCTGACCGCGTCAACCTTGTTGCACCGGCTAGTCCTATTGAGTGTCTGCTTTATTAACCCAATGTCCGGGCGATACAGTACAAACTGGGACCGGATGGGTTGACCCGGCTCGGAAATTCAAATGTACTACGGCGGCCCGTGCTCTGTTTGTCTCCGAACATTTGTTATTTATCATTATTTAATATTTTAAACTTTATCTTTATCTTTCAGGGAGGCTGGAGGTGTAGTTCAAGATGTTTCTGGATCTAAGGTTAAATAATATTAATAATTAATCTATATAATCAAATAGATTATCAAGTACAATAGGTGGAAACAGAGAAATGGATCAATTATACACGACGTCACAAGTGTCAAATATAACAAAGAAAACGAAATTTTCTCATATTATTTGACATGGTTTTCAAGATTAAATAAAAAAGTGTAAAAACAGAAAATAAATAAGACATAAAATTACACCTTTTTCACTGTAAGATAACCTATTTATTCTAAATTTATCACTTTCATTAATAATTTTTTCGGACACAATACTGAGTTGTGATGTAAGAATACAGCTGTACTGAGAGTTTACAAATACTACGTTGCCATCTATTTGTCTTATTTATCTTAACAATCTATTTGTATATAATAAGACTCTTCGTATTAATATTTAATATCTCAACTATAAATATAGAAAGAGATTAATAGATTATTTTTGATATCTAATAGCTCAACTATAAATATAGAAAGAGATTAAAAGATTATTATTGATATCTAATATCTCAACTATAAATATAGAAAGAGATTAGAAGATTATTATTGATATCTAATATCTCAACTTTACATATAGAAAGAGATTAATAGATTATTATTGATATCTAATATCTCAACTATAAATATAGAAAGAGATTAAAAGATTATTATTGATATCTAATATCTCAACTATAAATATAGAAAGAGATTAATAGATTATTATTGATATCTAATATCTCAACTATAAATATAGAAAGAGATTAATAGATTATTATTGATATCTAATATCTCAACTATAAATATAGAAAGAGATTAATAGATTATTATTGATATCTAATATCTCAACTATAAATATAGAAAGAGATTAATAGATTATTATTGATATCTAATATCTCAAATATAAATATAGAAAGAGATTAGTAAATTATTTATTTAGAAGTTATTTACAATTATGATAAAATCATCACCTCACTTATAAATAATTGATATTAAAATGATTTTCAAATGCATTTGTTGTAATTTAATAGTAAAAGGTCTTTTTTCTGTAATATTTTTTCAGAATTAAAGTTTTGTACTAAACCTTAGAATAAAAAATATATCGTTCACTTTCATTATTTATTTAGCAGCGACAAAGATCAGAACATTTTAGACAGAAGGGAAAGATCAAATTTATGCAACATTACTGGTACAACTTTGTGACCTTTTAGCTCCTCTAGTTTAATTGTAAGTACATGAGAAAAGAAAAGGAATTGACACAAATTTTGGTTTTCTAATTTCTATATCTTTGCAGCCCAATGTCGTGGACCTTAGATATTTCAAACTAAGAATTCTGTCAGATCAAATAATCTAAGTTTGAAACATCAAGGTTTTACACAATCAGGTTGCAAAGATATGGGTATTAGAAAATTGCAAAGATATGGGTATTAGAAAACTCAACTCCTTTAATTAAACAAATTCTGAACATGTTCTTCTCAATAGCTCGTCAATACGAGAATTGAAAGCATGTAAGATTTCAATCTAAAGAGCAATTCATCTTAGTTTGACGTGAGATCACTAGCTTTGTTTGACGTGAGATCACTAGCTTAGTTTGACGTGAGATCACTAGCTTAGTTTGACGTGAGATCACTAGCTTAGTTTGACGTGAGATCACTAGCTTAGTTTGACGTGAGATCACTAGCTTAGTGTGACGTGAGATGGGATAAAAGTGTTTATTTTAAACAGATTATAAACTTTATAGCGTAAGATGCTGTTGTCCGTGGAATTTAAAAAAGATCCAGAATTGGACAGAAAACGACGATATTATGCGTAGAAACTTTATTTTCATTTTTTTATTTTCCCTCGATGAAGTGCTCCGGTTTGTCAGCTGGTATTATCAATCTGAACAACTTCAAGAAAAAAAGTTTTTCTGTAAAATCTAAAAAAAATAGCTCACGTTTGTGAATTGTTTTTCTCAGAAAACCCGGTTTCCACATAGCAATTTTGATTTGCAGAAAAATCGTCTTTTCTTAATGTTGCTCGGCCCTCCTTACTATAGGTTCGTTATAACAAGTAATATATGATGCGGGCATTAAAGTTGACCTACTCTCAAAACCAAACTAAGAACATTTCTGTGGTTCTCCCGAGTTCCCAATCACAATTTGAGGCTAATCGGTCAATTAAGGGGTTCCAGAGTTATGATAGGACATACAAACAAACAAACAGACAAACAGAGATTACAACTTTATATATAAAGATATATTTATATATATGTCTTTGTTTTATTTTTATATATTGGCCTGATGTCAATAAAGGGATATAAATGTTCTAGCACCTTACACTGTCAATATATACTTTTCTTGGGAAGATTAATAGATAGATA